CAGACGGACAGTTTCATTTTTGTTTATACTCATATGTAAAGATAAATAAAACAATGTTTCTTAGTAAGCGAGTTATTGTCAATTCTTAATGAAAAAATTAAGTTCTTATACCATATTCCTACAAAACAACTGGATACCTTTACATATTATTTATATTTCGAGGACATGTGAAGCCTGCCAAAATACACTGAAGCCGAGCGGCAAACCAATTGCTTTAAAAATCTGTCATAAATCAGTTTTCTTTGCCGAGCAATGGGTCGTATATAGGCTGTAAATTTATAATATAATTGCAATAAAAAAATCAATATTGCACACATCGAACGCAAAACGGAGACGTGGTGCTCTATTGTCACCAAATTAAAAAATTGCGATCCACTCAAATCATTTTCTCCAGCTTTATATTGCACTTATACCTATAATAAAAAAGTACAAAAATAGCAAGAGGAGATTTCAATTAATACTTCTGACGTAGTTTTGTATTATTATTTATTTCGATTATTATTAAGAAAAAAAGTTAATTGAAAATAATTTCATTTGGAAGTCAGTTGGTCGATATGGATATAAAAGAGATATCTTTCGAAAAACTGAACTTACCACTTTGATTTTTTTATTTACTTAATCAACACTGAAAATTAAATCATACTTGGAATTCTCTATTATTCTTTAACTTATTTATTTTGGCTAACTTCACATCACACATAGCTCATATTGAAAATAAAAAAAACCGTGATCCGGGTCACCGCAAAGGAAGTGCCGCCATTTCCATGCGATTGCAATTTTAAATAGTGTGGTATCCGGTCTAGACATTTAGTCAAGTCAAGATATTTACAATCATATACTATTAGAGCACCGTCGATGTCGCCGTAAATATCGATATCTGAACGGGCGGCAACGCCAAGTTACATAAAATTTCCAAAAATGTGGTTCATCCACATAAATCAAAACAAACACACACACGCGCACGCACGCACGCACGCACGCACGCAAACACGCACGCACGCACACACGCGCGCACACAAACACGTACGGACGGACGGACGGACAGACGGACGAAGGTACAAAAAATAAATAGGGCCGCCCTTGGTAATACTTATTTAATACTCATCAAATATCTGTTAAAAATGTGTTATAAAGATATCATTTAATGATAATTTTTTAAACAAGTCTACTCACTCTGCATATTTAAACGCATATAAAGCCTATATATTGTCAGTAGTGTTTCTTTTATGGGATAAGGGTGGCAAACGAGCACACAGTCCACCTGACGGTAAGTGGTTACTGTGGCCCATAGACACCTACATCTATCCTCGATTACGAACGAAAATGCAGATTCGTTGACACCCGCGAGGACTAAGATGGAATGACTCGTTTCGAGTAAAAAGGGTCTTCAGTTCTCTACACTCACCATACGAAACACAACAGCGTTAAGCTGCTGTTTTACGCTGGTATTCTGTGAGAGCGTGGTCCTTCCCCGGTCGAGTCGACCCATTCGTGCTACAACTATACCAATAATATAGCTGCAGCATGGCTCTACCGTAAAGAGTGGTACCTCCATACAATCCATAAAGTCCGGTATAACCTATTTAAACGAACGTATATTACGGTGATATCATAGACCACATACATACCCTTCGGTAAATTGTACGAAATCTGATTTTTGAAAAGGTTTTAATACCATGGACCCTTCAACCAATTGTATAGAAAATCTAAGAGTGCAATCTGCCACCGTGTAGTATAAGTACATGAACTATGAAAAAGCCTTGGATACCGTCAAAATTTTGGTGTCAAAATTTGGCTACAGTAGCTAAGGCGGTACCAAGACAAAGGTCTCTGAGATCTGTGCTTGTATGTATTTGTACAGCAAGGCTACGATGGCTATCAAAATACAACACCAGAGTGCGAAACCTATCCAACTGTGGAGGTAACATCCAAGGTAACGTTATACTCCTAACTTTTCACGTAAGTACGTTATCCAGCCACTGCACTGATATTTTAAAATTTAAAATGTGTACAACATACCCACTTGAATATCAATTAGTAAGAATATCTCAAAAATTTTGGTCAGACCTTGATCAAATATATATATGGGACTACATGTGAAGCACCAGCTTTCCAATAAAAAAAAGAATCATCGTAATCAGTTCACCCAGGAATAAGTTAGGAGGCAACAAATTAAAAAACCATACAGTCGAATTGAACACCGCCTCCTGTATGAAATCGGTTGAAAAGGAGACGGTATCATCAACAATGCCTTTCCTTCGATTTTCCAACGATACTGTCATTATAGCAGAATCGCTGGAGTACCTCAGCACTATTCTCAATGACCTCAATCTAAAAAAACCGGCCAAGTGCGAGTCGGACTCACGCATGAAGGGTTCCGTACAATCGTAAACACGTTTCTAGTAGGGGAACCCCCTTTAATTTTAAATTTTTATTATTTATTGTTATAGCGGCAACAGAAATAGACATTCTGTTAAAATGCCAACTATCTACCTATTACGGATCATGAGGTACATCCCTCTGACAGACAGACGGGCGGGCGGATGGACAGCGGAGGCTTAGTAATAGGGCCCCGTTGGTTACCCTTCCGGGCCAGAACCCTAATGAACATGAACAAGACCAAGATCATGTGTCCATGTCACACCTATACCGGTAAGTGGTACCTAGTTGTTGGAAGCACTACGCTCGAAGCTGTTAACGAGTCAAAATTCGATTGAGAAGTCAATCGACGGCTCTGCGGATAATTTTTTTTAAATAAATTTAAAATACACGACTTTCAATTTATTTCGTCAAGATATTTTTATTTCCATTTGTAACATTAACGGACGCAAGCTTACTTCCTCTCTACGGTTCCTCTTCCGGGTGGCGGACATTAGCGGAAGTTAAAGCAGAGATTCGCGTGTCCCTCCCTTCCTCATAACCGTCTGGTATCCGGCGCCACAAATCAAGCGGTTTTTAATTTCCTAAATGTTGAACCGATATCCTTTAATTTTATATGAAATATATTTTATTTGCAGACTAATGCCTAAAAATATTTTATTACACGAAAAGATATTTAACTTTATAATATCTATATTACACTAGGATAAGGTATAAATCCGCAATTGTGATTTTTTAATAAACTTTCAATATTATGTTTGAAGCAAGATTAGATATTTTAATGCTGAAAGTATAGAACAAATGTAAATAAATATAAACATTATTATGAAGGTGCTTTACTGCACTACATGTGGGTGTTCATTCATGATTTAATGCGGCCTTACAAAAAGTTCAACGAAAGAACCTAAATCAATGCAAAAATTTAACGAAACATCCAGTCTTTAATGGATTATACACTAGATGCCGCTCACGCAATGAACTTATTTCGGGCACTTCCGCATGTTCAGATTCGAGTCCGGCCGCTCGTCGGTCGTCGCATTCCAACCGGGCAGCCACGCACCTCCGACTCCGACTAACATTAATATTAATTCCTTTATAACTCACTTTTGCTCCGAACCTATTAATAGGCTTACCTGCAAATGCATCACAGAATATTTTTGTATTAAAAAAATTTTTACCCCTATTATCTTAGGGTATTAATATTGTGTTCTCGTGTAGTATTATACTTAATCATTATTTACAACTAACAATACTGTTACCTAAAACAATATTTCTAGTGTTTTATAAAAGTTAAAATATCTTAAACGAACAATTGTACCTACACCTAGTAGTCTTGTCCTGCGTAGTCTTGTCCTTAAAATAGTAAGTCAAGTATAAAAGAAATTTAAATATCTCCAAGTACGAAAAACGTACAAATAAACAATAGAAATCACGTAACATTCAAAAGATTGACAAAGAAAGTAGCGGCAATATCCGCGGTCACGGTCACGACGACCACGTACGGTTCAACATCAGTGTTTTATTTTCCAAATTACTCCACTACACTACATGAAACTACTCAACGCCTAACCACGAAGCTGCACCAGTATAGACATTCGTTGTGTGTAAGAGCGAGAAAGAATGAGACGGGAACGAGGCGAGCGAAGGGAGCAACAGGTAAAGATTCCGAGGCCACTTCCGCCTTGGCTGACGAATATTTCTGTTTCGAACCGGTAGTGGTCCGGCCAGGGCACTCTCAATTCATTCCCACGTAAAGGATAGGATTTATGATTGAGTATCAGGGACGAAATGTCTCGGTATAAATAGTTTTACAAACATTTCTTTATAAATGCGTAAACTAAAAACAATAACGTATAAATATTTTTTAAAATAAAAACAATCTAAATAAAGACAAAGAAGTTGTTAAAATATATATAAATATAGATAAAGTGTCGTATCACAAATCTCACAGCTACGGACAATAAATAGATAGGTATATACATTGTTAGTGGAATGAGCTCAGCTGAAACCGGTTAGCGCTCATATTGTCTCACTCTGCACCAGGAAACCGACGGGTGACTTTTGAGACATTTCCTGTGTTCGAACATCGTGGGTAGCACTATGTACTAGCACAGACTAAATTAGTTTTAGTACCATCCAACATCTTTGGATGCTGATGATTTTTCTGCTGTTGTAGAAAAGTAATTAGTGGTAATAGTACACCTATTAACTCAATTATAATGGAACAGCTGAGTCTTAATTCCTAGATATTCTACAAACAAGGAAATATTGAGTTATTAAAATCTGTGCCAGCTGACGTAATCTCAACACTATTAGCACTTCCGCGTACCCTGGGTGGACGCTGATTCCTCTAGTAACAGTCAGAAATCCGTAATTGTGTTTCATAAGCTGACAAGTTAGTACAATTCGTCAATTGACAACATAAACTGAAACGGATAACGGTTTACGTTTGCGGAAATAATGTTCGTACTTGTAGTTAAAAATGGGACGCGGTCTCAGTCTGCCTCCCGAAGTTTTATCTCGTTCTCCGCAATATTGTATGTGGCGACATGGCGCGGTGGCGCGGAGAGCGCGGAGGGGCAGCGAATGCGTCCGTCCTCCCGCGCCGCCACCGCATCATCAGTCCGCGTCGGAGAGTTGCCCGCGACGCTCGTCTGCGAGCTCGATCCCTCAGATACGCTGCTGGTTTACGGCGTGCCGTAACACGACACGTTTGGAGGGACCGTAACTGCTTTAAAGTGTGCCTGTTGCTCTATGGACTGGATACTGTGCCTGAAGTGTTGTGACAATGTATATGTGCTGAACTATCCTATTCCCGTCTATCACTTTAGGATTTTTTTCAACAAATATACCCAGTTCCGGATCAGCTCAGCCGGTGAGTAGCAGCGCTTATCACTGGTCGCGCTATCTCACATTTACGCATTTCCGACCCCGCCCGATAAGAACTTTAGTGCTTATGTATTTCCACTACCTAAAGATTTAGTATCCTGTTGCGTCAATCTTAACAAACAAGTTTAACGAGTTTTATGAAAATATTTTTTTTTTGTTGACTCTTGTCATTCTATCATAGCTTAACTTACAGAGTTGTTACAAAAGTTTTTACTTTGTCGCGGCATAAAATTTTTCAAATCAGTATGAAACAATACTTTAATTTAACTTTTCACTTTACGGTTTTTTATATTCAAAGAAATGTATTTTACATAGCTTTATGTAATAAAATAGTATTCCATAGGGAATAGTGCCCTAATATCACGGTCACGCACGTGCAACATCACCCTTTAATTTTTTGCTCGGATGTTCCCCTGTGTTAAGATCCCCTACAATGTTACAATGACACATCATCCCAACACAATTGTGAGCTAGCCTAGCAGGTGCCATAACTTACAATTGCTTCAGGGTATAAATAAATTGTTTTAATCACTTGAAACGATAACGTCCAGATTTAAAATTCACAGAAGAATATTTCTTATTATCTCTGCTTTGGTCTAGCTGCCTATGTCCAATAGTTAGCTATTTGCAGGCAGTAATGATGATGAAAAAATTAAATTCTCTCAACAGTGTATTAAAAAATATATTACAAAAATGTTTAATTTTGGACCTTACACAATTTGCCTAAACAACTATGTAGGTATTAATTTTAATTTACAAAATCAATATCCCACTAATATTTACAGGGTTATTTCGTAATAAAATTAATGCTTACGGACGCCGAGAAAAAAATAATGCAATTAAAGTGCAATTAGTATAAAATAAGTAATCGAAGCGATTAAATGAAACAAATTTAAATATTAGCAATACATTTAAAAATTAATTATTGTTCTTTGATACTCAAGGTAAAAGTCAAAATATTTGTCGGAAAGTCAAGAAAGCTGCGCCATCGTTTTATCAGGTCAGAAGACCATGAGAGAAGAAGCGGCAAAGAACCAAGTAGCCTATTTTTCTCCCAAAAATTTAAATTTAACCATAAAATATACTCGTATATTAAAAAAAAGTCTAAGGAAATTGTACATGTACACGCATTCTTATCTTTTAAATAATCATCTAATTTTTAATAATAAACGACAGCACTGCCATCTATTGTTGAGTAGCAATGATAAACACTACTATACCGTAAATAAAACTATTTTAAACATTGTAGCTTCTTTTTCAAATTTTAAAACGATTGAGTACTGAACATAACTAATAACTTTGCAGATCACCGTGATGAAAGTAGTGAGTCTACAATTGCCGTCGGGGCCAAGCATGGAGCGGTTACCGCTGCCATTTAGTCCAACGGAGCTTTTATGGCGGTATCCACTGCCGTGGGCGCCGCCACCTCCTTCACCTCTGGGTGATACCAAAGCCCAACTACCTGCTGGTCTCCCGCCAGAACCAAGATTATGGACAAGAGAAGACGTTGCAGTTTTCTTAAAATGGTGCGAGAGAGAGTTCGATTTGCCAAACTTCGATATGGATCTTTTTCAAATGAATGGTAATTATTATTTTTGAGACAATGAACACTGAAATAATAAATAAAAGGGATCTTCGTTAAAAATAAAATTTTTTTTTGCAGGAAAGGCTCTTTGCCTTTTAACAAAAACCGACTTGGGCGAACGTTGTCCAGGCGCAGGCGATGTTTTACACAACGTTTTGCAAATGCTAGTACGTGACGCTGCACTACTTGGGAGGGTTCCATCATCTCCAGTGACGCCAACTGCCCGAGCGGCACCATATCCTCCGTCCCCACATTCGCATCCGCCAACTCCGACCTGGGCCGTCGATAGCTTCCACCACTTCCACAGCGCAGCTGCAGCTGCTGCTCAACCCAATTCTGTAACCTTAAGCCCAGCTCCATCGGTTGATAGTTCTGGCAGCCCACAAAGAGGAGAAACATTAAGCTATGCTTCTGCATATGCACCTCCAGTCCCAGTGCAAGCTGCAAGCTCTGGTAGCAATCATTCTGACTCAGATGACGATGCTCAGTTTGCTCCGCCTCCACGCTCACCGAAAGAAACTCCCTTAACAAGCCCAGCGCCGCAAAATCACTCTGCATCCCAACATACACATTACCGCGCGCAGCACAGGGAATTCTTTCCGAATGATATGCCCGAGTCAAACACAAGTAAGTCAAAGAAACGCAATATTACAAAGTTACATCATTAATAATAATGTCAACTTAAACAAATCAATCATTACACTAAAAAAAGTAAAATGTAGTTATGTTACACTGATCACTTTTGGTTCCAGATGGTAGGTTATTGTGGGATTTCCTACAGCAACTATTAAATGACCCGACGCAACGATACACAAATTACATCGCGTGGAAAAACCGCGATACTGGCGTTTTCAAGATTGTCGACCCAGCTGGTCTTGCAAAGCTTTGGGGCATTCAAAAAAATCATTTGTCTATGAACTACGATAAGATGTCACGTGCACTTAGATACTACTATCGCGTTAACATTTTACGAAAAGTACAAGGAGAACGCCATTGTTACCAGTAAGTATTTCAATAATTTGACATAACGTTAAAAAATGTACCGTATGCATAAGTAACCTTCAATTTTATTTACAGATTTTTGCGGAATCCTACAGAACTTAAAAACATTAAAAACATCTCTCTCTTGCGGCAACAAATGAGTCCAACGAGAGTTACACCTCAATCTGTAGTCAAAACAGAAATGAAAGAAGAACGTTGCGAAGATGAACATGTGGAAGAAGATATGCCAACAGATTTAAGTATGGCTACATCAGAACCTTGGAGGAAACGTGCGCGGTCAGATAACTCACAGCCAATCTTACCTCACGACAAACATCGTATCAGTGCCTTAATTGGCGACAGTATGATGATGAAACGTGAATCCGAGTACAACCCAGAACATTATGCTCTTAATTTAAAAAGTGAAAAATGTGAACAATGATTTACGATGAACAGTGCCTTTGGACACATCAGTGCGATACAGACTACGTGTAAATAGTTTATGTGTAAACAACTCCACCCTACAGACGCTAGTCAAATTCCTCTCAGAAAGGATATTTTTATAAGTCTTCCTATAATTTTCATGTTATACATGATATATAAGATCATATTATACAATAATAAATCACTGAGAGAACTTTGACAGGTTAAGTCTTAGGAGTTATACAGGGTATGGACCTTAATGCCTTTGTGCCAAGTGATTTTATCTAATAGTGTCAATTAAAAAGTAGTTAGCAAAAGGGATGAAAGTTTATTTGTGTTATATTCATAGAGACTGTTTTAATATTTTGTGCAATGGACCATTCATATTGACTGCTAACTGTAATCTCACTATAACAAAATAATGAGATAATGATGTTGCCAAAACTGGAATGTCAGTGCGTGCGTACAATTACGCACGTATGACATTTTTGTAATTTTAATTAGGTAGTTCTATGTATGTTTATTTTTTGTTTTGAGTTGCTGAGGAGAATACATACACAAGCGAGTTAAATGTTTGAAAATTTATCACCATATTGTTGTCTTCCATTGATTCTTTTTGGCAAACATTTCAATTGTAGCTTGTGGAAAGAGTTTAATATTTTCGTGAGTGCTACCACTTAAGTGTTAAAATAAAATGGACAAAGATTTGGACAATCTTCTTAAAAGACAATAACTAAACTATTATCTACCTACTAATTGCCTTGAAATCAATCAAAAATAAATCCACTGTGATAAAAAAATTTAAGTGGTAGACATGTAGAATATGCTAGGTCTATTCAATTATTTCCAGCTACAATTTTCTGTGATCTCTTTTATCAATATAGGTAAATAATGTCATAGAGTAAACATATTGTGTTTGTAAATATTAGTAAGTAAATAAGTTAGTTAAGAAAGTAACTAAAGAGAATATAAATATGATTTGTAAAACAAAAAGTGGAGCTTTATCAAAGTACCTAGTTATCAGTAAATACTATAACAACTGAGTTTGTATTTTTACATTTAATTCATTTTGGCATAAGAATGCCATAATTTCCAAATAGAACACAAAAGAAACATGTTTCGCAAAATATTGTGTCGACTTTTATTAAAATAACTTAAAATAAATGAAAATAACGTTATCCCAATATAAATTATATTTAATTTGTTGGGTGCCATTTTTACTCATTGTGGAATTTGCGCAGTTATGCTATTCGAAGAACTCTTCCTAAAAATATTGTTAGGCCTCAACATTAACAATGTTTGAAGTTTGAACGAAATACCGGTATCGATATTTTCTAAGCCTCGTTTTCTGGAAAATAACAATTTATAACGATGGTGGGCATAAAATAAATACACAATGGCGAATGAGGGCCGCGGATTAGAATCTCGCAAAAGTATCTAAATGGTCTATAAGTAATTATTCCGAGTCTGGATGTTTGTCCTTTTTTTTAATTACGTATGTAAACTGCCTTTACGATACAGGAGAAAATTCCAGTATGGGGGTAACGTTTTTTTTTAAAGGAAAAAGTAATCAAAAATAGATATAATAGATATTTATAATATTACCTCGCTAATATTGAAAATATTCTTGAAATTTCGCAATTGCCGATTCGGCACCAGCCTCAATATCGGCAACAGTCCTAGTGTGCAATGGATGGACAAAGTCATTTTAAACCTACAACGTCAGATCCTCGTTACGAAGTCTATCACGCAAGGAAACTCCGAGCATAGTCCTATGTATAGATCGTTGAGCGACCTTAATTTTCCTCATACGACCAACAGTAAAGGACCACGTCTTAGGTCCCTATGTCATCACTGACAACACGTAGTGGTTATACACTCTTGTTTCCGGGTTTTGAGGAATATGCGACGAAAAAATGTGTCTTAATCTCTCTTCCTAATAATATTCTTAATTAATACTTCGATTTACCTCTCGAACGAAATTGAAGTCCAATTGATGATGAAACTTAATGGGACAATTTGTCCAAGTAGCATACGTCAAGAACTTCGAGCATAGTATTCGCAAATATCATCAGCAAAGGTATGATATGAACGTTAACTTTGTCTTGTCCCTGTTTATCCTAAGACCAATCCTTTGATAGATACTATTGAGGTCAAGTGCTAAAGATTCCCATTTCAGTGACTTCGCTATATTATGACTATTGTCTGCAAATCGAAGGTGAGTGACTGGCTATTCGTGTTATACCATATCTTTTCCAATCCAGTACCTTAGAAACGTCTTCCAAAGCAGCGGTGAAGAATGTTGGGGATATAATATCAACCTGTACAACTCTCTGCAGCTGAGTCGGTTTCTGTACTGAAATGAAATCGTCTGCCATCGTAGCCTAACTGTACAAGCACTTCGTACACATACCCACTGTTAACATGGCACCGCTAATAGGAAAAAAAGCACCCCCAAATTTCGAAAAAAATCAAAGGCTTTCTCATAGTTCACATACTGCGCAGAATAGTGGCAGATCTCTTCGGTATCCTGTACAATTGGCCGAAGGGTCTTTGGTACCAAAGCCTTTTCAGAAACCGGCTTGTTCGAGAGGCTGGAAGTCTGCGTGCGAGACATTTCGTTATAACTCGAAAACAGCACTTAATCTCTTCTTAACAGGGAAGTCGCTCTGTAGTTCATTAGTATAGCGTTCTTGAAAAATAAAATCACATTTCTGCACCACACCTTCTTGAGTAGCGCCACAAAATTCAAAAAATTAGAGCATTCCTTAACTTTTAGTATTGCGAAGCAAAGAAAAGAAAAGTAAACCAAATTTGATAACCTTTAAATTAAAATTATTTAAACTTTTCTTTTTTTTATAAGAATTCCTGCTTGTTGTTAATCATAGCTGAATATTGAATAATCAAATTAAAAGAATGTGGATATGAGACATATCCAACGTAGCAAGGATTAGAAAATTACGACATGCCTTTTTTCTAACAACAGGCAGTACAAGCGTCTGACTTACTACAAAACCAGAATGTGGTCTTTTACTTGAAGCTGTACGAGGCTCCTATTCACCCAAAGAACAATATATACGGTAGAGCTATATACGGAAGGGAATAAGAAGAATAAAAAATATCGCTGAAGTCATTAGATAAACTGATTATAGAACTGTTAACAGTTAGGGAAGAAAATTTGTTTAGTTGTCACTTTTTATAACCGCAAAGCACCTATTAAGAAACTCATTGCTCATTGTAAATCGAATCTTGTGTCGTCATTTATAATTTCCTTACTAACTACCTCCCAACCGCAAGTAACACCACAAGTATTTTTAGGGGCATCTAGAACTATTCTGGTGGTGGTCACTCATTAGTCTGAAAACTCATGTCCATTGTTTTTGTGATTCAAAAGCGATCCATTTGATTAATTACAAAGAAAAATGTTTCCCACGACAGGAGAATACAAATCAAGAGTAATTAAAAGGTTGGATGAAGTTACGTACATATAGCGATTCATAATCCTTTATTAGTCCCTACATATGGTAATGATAGTCGGGTGTGGCAGAAGGAGCATAAGAGTAAAACTAACGCTATCGAAACGCGGTTATTAGTTTGTGAGAAGTGATTCTGAACATTAGAGTAAGAAACTGAGATCCTGGTCGATTTGAAAAAGAATGCTTTGGTGGTGTAGACACGTTGAAAATATAAATGAGGAAATTGACAACACATATTTATAAGTACTGCACAAGTGAGTGACAGGAACGGCCTAGGCGGAAGTTCATCGACTAAATTGTCGATATATTGTATATGAACCAAATTTGAATTACTTAAGCAACGAGTATGAATGCGTTATATCATAAATATATAGATGTGTAAGAAGCGAAAGATGTGTAACTCTGCCTACTCCTTTGGATGACAGGCGTAAGAGTTTATGACGCTGTGAGGGAATATAGTCGCGAGTAGTTCAGCTAAGTCGTGCTGCTTTTACACGACAATGCCCGTGTACAAGACGTAATGGGCTTTTAGATTTTCAATTTGTCAAAAATGCGATTTATAATTATTCTGATGAGTAAGTCAAATATTTTTTAAGGCATAAGAATGTCATTTAAACAATCTGAAAATATATAGGGGTTCAAGGGGTATTATATTGTGAAGGAAAAATAATTTTGTAATAAAAAAAGTTGCTGGACACCATTCCAAGAACTTTTACCGCCCCTGGTAGGTTTATAGTCGACATCAGAGGTTTGTAAAAATTTTCTGAAATTATGTTCCAAACGTTTTCCACTCATTTAAAACCCTGTCTGTGCCTGCCATTGAAATAAAGGCAATAGTATATTTATTTAACATGCTATACTTTTATTTTTTATTAGTTTATTGCCCCATGGTCTATCAAAACGTTACTGATTATTATCAACTTTTTTTTTATATAGAATAAGGGTGACAAGCGAGCACACAGTCACCTGATGGTATGTGGTTGCTGTGGCCCATAGACATCTACATCTATCCTGGTTTGCGAATCAAAATGCAGATGCGTTGTCAGCCGTGAGGACTAAGATGGAATGTTTCTTTTCCAGTAAAGGGTCTCCGGTTCTCTACACTCACCATACAAAACAGAGCAGCATTAAGCTGCTATTAAGGTTAAGGTACGGATAAGCCCGCGTCGACTTTAAACATGATTTTATAATTGCTAAGTTTGGTTTATATTTGTAATAAAACTGAAGAGTGCGTGGTTGTAAATGAACTTTATAATTCAAATAAAAAGTTTATTTTTTATAGAAGAGGGGGCAAACGAGCATGCGGCTCACCTGATGGTAAGTGACTACCGCCGCCCATGAACAACCGCAACACCAGGGGAATTGCAGATGCGTTGCCGGCCCTTTAGAAAGGTGTAAGCTCTTTTCTTGAAGGTCCCTAAGCCGTATCGGTCCGGAAAAATCGCCGATGATAAACAATTCCACAGAGAAGTTGTACGAGGAAGAAAACTCCTAGTATAACGCACAGTCGCGGACCGCCAAGCATCCAGATGGTGAGGATGGTATCGTGAATTTTGACGCGATGTGCTTTCGTGAAATTTGGCGGCTGGAATTAATCCGAACAATTCCTCAGAGCACTCCCCGTGGTAAATTCAATAGAAAATGCAAAGGGATGCAACATCCCTACGCAGTGCCAGTGTATCGAGCCGATCAGAAAGAGCTCGGTCGTCGACGAATCGAACCGCTCTGCGCAGGATGCGGTCAAGTGGAAGGAGCTGGCACTGGGGTGCCCCAGCCCAGAGATGAGAAGAGTATTCCATGTGAGGCCGAACTTGCGCTTTGTAAAGTTGCAAGCGATGTGCCGGCATGAAATACTGTCTCGTTCTGCTGAGCACGCCACGTTTTTTAAAGGCCAATTTGGCCTTCCCTTCCAAGTGACCACGAAATTGTACACTATTCGATATGTCAACGCCGAGGATTCCGATACTAGCTGAGGCAGCAAGGGGAGTGCCTTGAAACTGGAGAGATACGACAAAGGGGTTTTTTTAACGGTAAACGCGCAAACTTGTGTCTTCTGGGGATTGAACTGGACTAGATTTAGTCGCCCCAATCCGAGACTTTGTTCAGCAAAGACTCGACTTCAGACACAAGTTTGTCCCGGTACCCGGCAACGTTTCTACGAGAAGTATTGACACGGCCGGTATATAAGGCATTACCAGTGCTGTCGCCTGCATAGCAATGAATGTTACTAGTTTGCAACATATCACTGATATACAGGAGGAACAGCGTTGGTGATAGCACGCAGCCTTGTGGAACACCAGCGTTGATAGGCTTGAAATCAGAGTATGCACCGTCTACTACGACCTTGATGCTCCGATTGGCAAGGAAACTGGTGATCCATTTGCACAATTTCTCGGGAAGCCCATAGGAAGGAAGCTTCGAAAGAAGCGCTTTGTGCCAGACCCGATCGAAGCCCTTCGCTATGTCCAAACTAACGGCCAATGCCTCCCCCTTGGACCCTACTGCCTCCGTCCATCTGAGTCAGGTAGACCAGAAGATCACCAGCTGATCGACCCTGACGAAAACCGTACTGGCGGTCACTAATCAGTTGGTGATCCTCAAGGTACCTCATGAGCTGGCATTTTATAATGGATTCCATTAGTGTGGAGAATAAGGAGGTGATGGCGATAGGTCTGTAGTTGGACGAGTCTGAGCGGTCACCTTTTTTAGGGATCGGGTGGACCAAAGCTGTCTTCCATGAATTCGGGACTACGCCTTGGGAGTAGGAGAACCGGAAAAGACGCGTGAAAACCGGTGCCGGTCCAGGGAGAAGAGTGCTTTGCGAACCGAGCGCTATGTAAACCGCACATCCAGCATGGAGCACTCACACCGCGGGATGGTCGGCGGTGTGTTCCCCCCGTCATCTAGAGTCGAGTTGGACGCAAAGAGAGAGCTTAACAGATAGGCTTTCTCCTTTGGGGCATGGGCCAGTGAGTCGTCCTCTCTGAGCAGAGATGGAAAAGATGGCTGGCAGAAGTTCCCTTGGACAGCCTTGGCGAGAGACCAGAATGCACGGGTTCCCGAAGGAAGGCCTGGAGGCGGAATTATACTTCTTTATAAGAGTACGGGTGTTTACATCCCGGAACGTTCATGCGTCAGCCCAGGCCCGGTAGCACTCCTGCTTATAGCGTGATGCTATTTTACAGGAGCGACCAAACCATGGTTGGGATCTGCCTCCGATGGGCACCACAGAGGATGGAATAAAAAGTTCCATACCCTGAAGTACCACATCAGCAACAGAATCGGCAACAACGCTGGGATCTTCCGGCGAGAAGCAAACCCGCCCCCAAGGATACGATGCAAAAAAATACCGCATCCCGTCCCTAACATGGCGGCAAGCTGCACATCGCAACTGCGATGGGAGCGTGAGTAGCACCGTACTCCGGATCAGACAATGGTACGAAGACCCCAAAGGGGCGTCGACGGAGACCTGATATCCGTCCGGATGAGAGGTCAGCAGAAGATCCAACAGGGAAGGTACATGATCCTCCACATCTGGAATCCGCGTAGGCGAAGTAACCAGTTGTGTTAGACCATATGCCAAGGCAAAGTCATAGACAGATCTACCCGCATGATCGGTTAAACGAGAACCAAGCCATTCAGCGTAGTGGGCGTTAAAATCACCGAGTATCACGATTTCTGCGGATGGGACCTGTTGTAGCACGGAGTCTGCAGCCATTTGGACGTGGTATTACCGCTATGGGACGTATAGAGGCAGCCGTAGATGCGGGGATGGTCGTCGCTCTTTACGCGCAGCCATAGGATGGACAGGTTCGCACCTTCAAGACTGCCGAGACGTAGAAAACAAATGTCCTCTCTGACGTTTATGCAAAGCTCCAGCCCGGGGCACAAAGGAGTGTTCTAATTTGTACCCCGGGTAGGAGAGATATGAAGTATCAACCGGAGAGGACACCTGAGTCTCGGTTAAAAAGAGCAACGCCGGCTTCGC